AGTTTTTTTTCAAAATCGAAATTACATGTACAATTGATATATGAAAATGTAGCAATTATATCAACATGTATATCTTTATGTATATTCTATTTCTGATTGCGGATTAAATATAATTTTTTATTAATAAGTGCATTTTTATTTCATGTTATATATTTTAAATTTAGTTGAATATTATTAAATAAAAATATTACATAAATCTAAAAATAAAAATGATGTACTAATTATATAAATAATGTGATAATGTATTACTTTTAAATTTAATAATGCATCTATAATATAATGATATATTATGTTTAACTTATAATAAATTCAAATTTAATAAAAATATATGGTTTATCTATTAAATCATCTGCATTTTCATGTAAAATATTTTTAATCATTTATTACCTTAATATACTATATATAAAAAAGTTAGATTTTGATTTTGTTAGAAATTTCTTCAAAGTGGAATAAGATAAACTATTTTTATTTTAATTTTAATATTAAATTTGTATTTGAGACAAAACAAATTGATTAATAAATTATATATATGTACGAAATGAAACATATTAGAAATTTTTTTAAAAAAATTTGTTTAATCGGAAATGTTTCGGGAAATATAGTTTATATTCTATAAATGTTACTGTTTTATTGATAAATTATATACAAATTTTAGTATAGTAAACATTTGGAAAAACTTTAAGAAAATTAAGGATGTATTTATTTTTAAATAAATATAATACAATGAAATTTATAAATATCTTTCTAATTTCAGTTAGTATAATTATATAAATTTATAAATATCTTTCTAATTTCAGTTAGTATAATTATATAAATTTATAAATATCTTTCTAATTTCAGTTAGTATAATTATATAAATTTATAAATATCTTTCTAATTGCAGTTAGTATAATTATATAAATCAACGTTTCAAAGTAAAGAATACAATTATTTTCTATGCATTAAATTATTATTAATAATTTACTTGTGTAAGCGAATTCATTAACTCATGTTGCATTTTTGCTAATTGACCTTAGTTTGAAAAATTTCAGATCAAAGTTCATAATACCTTTACTTTCACCGGGTCACTATGAAAATGTATATAATTTTAAGTGCGAAATTTATTTTAAAAAGATGTGTCTTTGTTTTAAAAATAGTTAAAAGGAAAATAATAAGTTTCCCCAGAGTCATTATACTATACAATACCTAATTAATTAAATGTGAAAAACAGAGTTAATATTATTTTGATTGTTATCATAGTACTATTTGTATTACAAGATTTAATCGACAAAAAAATTTAATATTTTCAAAATATCATATGATATTACTTTTTAATTTTTTTTAATTTGATCTCTTCGTCTCTCTCTCTCTCTCTCTCTCTCTCATGAAATAACAAATGTTTTTACAAAAATTAGATGATAATTACCATTTCTCATTTACTCCAAAATATAAATGTACATATATTTTTCAGGTTTAATTTGAATTTTTTTTAATATAAAATGATACAATTATTAAATTAATTTTATAGAAATAATTGCTTTTAAATGTTTAATAACCTTTAAATTATATTTTCGAAATATTATGGTCACCATGAAGAATATATAAACAAGTATTAATATATTGGAATTTATTAGTTTAGAAATATTGTATATAATATATTATCATCGACAACATGTAAATAAGTGTGAATGCAAACAAATTTACCTCTTTAATACTGTGTTAAGTATTGTTTTTTTTTAATTTCTTCTTCAATATTTAATTAAATCACATTTAATTAAAGGGTGCTTAAATGAAATTCTAATATCTAATTTGAATATTCAACAAAAATAAGGTAAAACTATACTGTATAAATGTAGAATTATATTTCGAATAATAAATTTTAATTTTTCATATTTGCATTGATTTTTTGGATTATATTGCTTAATTTGAATCATTCTTTTCTACAAGCAAGCCTTTTAAATTTCCATGTGCATTAAATTTATTCTTTAAAAGTAATATTAATTGTACTTTTATAGCAAGCAGTCAACGGTAACAATAACACAGTCTTTTCAAACATAGTTTGATTTGTAATAACAAGATATAAATTCTAGTATTCCAGCACAGTATACAATTATTTACTACTAAAATGTATTCTATGTAGTACAGAATTAACTCTGAAATTACTTTCGTATTATTATGGAATATTATCACTCTGTAGGTTTGCACATACCAGAGTAATTTCACGATTACATAGATTTATTTACTATTACAATTATGTTGTTAAATATTTGATTTAAATCATTTCAACTCCTGATTGATGAAAACAACAAAATAACTAAAAAGTTGAAATTTTTTATCCAAATAATTTTTAAAATAATGTCTGAATATCATACGTTTTTCTATTTGAAGATTTTACTTGGTTATATTCAAATCTGATAATAATATTAATAAAAAATCCTGATAAAATATATTAATTCTTAATACGTACGTTCTTTACCTTTTTTCATTTTAATATTTATAAACTTCATTATGTAATTACTAGAATAAACTGTAAGTATTATGAACTTTATTTATTTCAATATGTCACTTATTACATTAAATCCTTGATAATTTTTTATATGCATAAATATTCCCTTTTCTTTTAACTTGTTAGATTATATAACTTAATTATTTATTATGCTAACGCTAACAATGTTTGAATTATTATTATAATGTAATGAAAAATTGTGACTTCATTAGGTTGATCTACGCATTTATTGTAAACACGGCGTTTACATGTTATAACTACTTTACGATTTTTTTTAATTTCGTGTAAGGTCCCTATGACCGGTAAAAAAAAACTAGGTCAGATAAGAATTAATAATAAATTGAACTATGTAGATAGTAAAATATTAATTCATATAGACATTTAAATCAATTATATAATCATTAATGTATTATATTACAAATTTATAAAACTACATTTCGAGAATATCTGCTTATCCAACGCATATTTTATGAATCTTAGTCTCTCTTTTTAAAGTTCACTTTCATGTTCCTATCAACATACTAAACAAAATAAAAGCTATAAAAAAAATATCCGATGAGAAAATTGTTCAAGAAAAATTCACCAGTTTCTCTTTATCCTTTTTCTATAAAAAGTAATATATTCTGTGTCCATTTATTTCTACAACCTAGTAGTCCATTTTTTGTATGATGTAAATGTTACTAATAATAAATATTTTACATATAAAGTTTTTGACACTAGCCATAGTTTATTCGATTATTCTATGGATATGATTATCTTTTTCATTGTACATAGTATTTATTTGAAAAGCATAAGTTTTATATTTACAATTTATTTATTTGAAATGCTTTCCTTACTACAATTTTATCGATATATATCTATCTTGATTTTAATATGAGCATCTTTTTTTCCAAAATAACTTTTTTTTTTAATAATAGCTTCTATATTTTATAGCATCATATTACACTATCTTTAACTATTTATTTGTTAACTTGTTTTTATTTGTTCCACTAATATTGGCCAATGAACGTTGATCACACTTCTAAACTGTATTATCTTTATGAATTTAGAAATATTTTTTCTTTTATCATTAAATAGTAGACAGCACGTAATTTTTTTTCGTTTGTTATCCGAAATCCAATATTTTCTACATCTTTTATGGTATTAAAATAGAACATATAGGTAATATAATGACTTAAACAAACTAGTAATTACTCAGATCAATCAGATTTCAAATAGCCCAATTTTTTTCTTATTAATTTTTTTGTAATTCTCTTTAAACGAATACATGGAATATATCTCAATATAATTTCGATAATAAATAGTATAATCAATATATGAAAGATATAATTATGTACTGTATACTTTAAACTATTATGATGTAGTTTATATCTATATTTTTATATATCTCATTCACAATTGACTTTCACTTTTAAATTTGATCATCAAATTAAAAGAAATGATATGTAATAGAAATTTAATGTAATATATAATTATTAAAGAAATTGTGCTTTAAGTTAAACTAATTAGTTATTAAAGATACTTATTTTTCAATATTATAAAATATAAATCTATTTTTCTAATATATCTTAATATAAAATTAAAAAGAAAATATTGCAATAATAAATAATTTCTAATTCTCGATCTATTATTTGATTAAAAAATTTATCTAATTTGTAGAGTTTGAAAATCGTTTTTGGAAATTTTTTTTTAAACAAACTCAATAATACAACTATAGTTTTTAAATATTTAAAACTTCTTAAGCAGATATTTGAGGAGTATACATTAAGTTTTAATAATCAATAAAAAATCAAATGACGAAGTTATTTGACGTCACCTGAAATCATAAATTATTCGAAAAGACTGTTCTTGTAATTTAAATTAGAAATAAAGAATAAAGATATTTTTAACTATTCTTAAGGAAATTAGAAATATGTCTATATTGTAATTATTAGTTATAACAAAGGAACATTTAATTTTGGTCGCATAATTAAAATTTAATTATAGTCTAACTTATTAATAAAGCATTTCTTTTTATTTTCTACAATAGTAAATTGTCAAAAAAAAAAAAAATCAAATAAGTAGGAGTTCATCAATCCATCGAAATTAAACATAAAATAATGAATTTTTCTTTTCTGTTAAAAATAGCATACTGTTTGAATTATCATTAATATAAATAAATAATAATTTAAGTATATGATATATGAGCTTTTTAACAATATTGTCAAAATAAATTTTTTTTCTTCATAATTATTATGTGAATATGTGTTCTATAATTAAAAATACTAAATTATGTTGTAATCGTACAAATTACAATTTTTAACAATATTTGAGAATTAGAATACCGTAGGACTTTCATAAATATTTAGCTCATCAATAAGATAAATTCATAATACCAGAAATGATTATCGCGCAGGTACAACATTCATTTTCCATTTCCATAAATAAATATTTCAAAAATATTCATACACTAAATTTCCTTGCTCTTGTTCTAGTTAGATCCTCAATTTAATTTCGCTTTGAAAAATTGTTCTAGCACGCCAGCTGTAGAATGCAACAAGCAGGATAGCAAAGGACCGTCGCGTGGTCCTACCGGAAGGCCAGCGCCGCTTCTGCGCTCCAGGACTTTGCCAGCCATCGTCGCACCCGGTCTCAGTATTTTGCAGGCGCAAATCGACTCCCAATTCCCAAGTAAGTTGTTTGGATTTTAAGGCCTCAATTAATTATCGGTAGACGTACATTTTGTATTAACCTATTAATCGATTTGTAAGTCGTGATAATGTTTATCGACACCGTTTCCAATAAACAAATAGGAATTTCATTTTTATATAAATATTAATTGCTTACGTAAATAAGGACGCGCTGCTTTAACAACAGAGAACATTATGACTATCAAATAAAAGTGCAAAGAAGAATAAAGTATTAAGCTATAGGAAATAAATAACGTTTGTAACAATATATTGGCTTTAGTCCAATCAGCGATTTTGTTCGCAGTAAAGGAATAATTTTATAATTATACTTCTAATAAGATACAATGCCTTATAAGAACAAAATTACATTATACCAGTTGTATTTGTAGCCAAAGCTATATAGATATACGCGATTTGGTTTATTTATTTGTATTGCCATATGTCAATAGCAACTTTTTTTGATGAAGCTTAAATTTCATAATACTCGATTCGTATAGCAATCACCAATGAAAATTTTATTATTACTATAATTTTTAATACTATAAAAATTTCTGAAAATCCAGTATTTAGAGTATTTAAAAATGATTATCCTTTCATTTATTTTACATTATAAAATAATTTATTTCAAATGTATAATTCTATAAATTCATCTATTATGAATTTTTCTTTATAGAAATCTAAAATTACATGCTATTATTTTATCATTATATTTTAATATAGCGTAAGTATTTGTTCTTGAATTATAATTTAATTAAATACCGGATATGTATTAATTATAACACGAGGCATTTTTATTCTCGGTTATGTTTGTAATCTTATTACTGCATCTTGAAGACTTTTACTTCTAGCTTCCATAGAATTGAAATAATATTTACCCATTTAAAATTTTATAAAATTATATTATTTTATCTTATTTATTGTTCGAGACTTGTCTACCGATAATTTAATTCATACGTTTTTGTATTTTTATAATGCGGTTAAAATAAAACCAAATATTATTTTTCACTTATTTAAAGATATTTCAGATCATAATATTTCAAATATACGAAAATAGTTGTATACATAATAGGTGTTATAACAAAAGATGTTTAATTAATTTTTTAAATTCGATTTTCTCAATTATTACGATATAACAAATAACATATAAGAGATTTCTTATGTAATGACATTATCATATTAACAGCTATTTAATTATAATTTTAATTGAATTGAAATCAATTTAAAAACGTAACGGACATAGCTCTTTTTTAGTTTCTGCTTATATTTCAATTTGAAGTATTTCTTATGTCAGAGCGTCATTTACTCTCTAATAAAACCCTATTAGAATAGAATATTTTTAAACCCTATTACCAATACAATATTTTTGAAATAGTTTAGAAATCTACATTCTACAAAATATATAACTAAGTTAAAGATTATATTGAGTAACTTTGTTTCTAACAGTATTGTTAATAAGTTACTTATAGGTTAACAAGGCATGTATTTTGAAATAGAATAAAGCAAGATATACACTTGCATATCATCAAATGACAAATCGTTGATTCTTTTTTCTTGTTTTCACTGTAATAAAAATTGTAACTTTATCTTAGATTTTAACTATTTCTTTTATTCTTACCTATTACAATTAAGATTCATTTGAATTTTTGGAAAAAATAAGTTCAACTAGTTCTTTTAAAAATTTTATGATCTAAGAATTATAGAATCATGGGGAATGAATCATTATTGTTATTAAATTAAAAAAAGAGGAAGACTTTTTCAAAAATTCCATTGAAAATATATTTAACAACATATTTATAAAATCAATTGATGATTAAAAATCTCTTTTATAAAGTATTTTATAAATTAGATATTTTACAGAAGATTAAATTGCTCAATAATCTCAGAAAAAAAGAATGTTTCAACGTTATAATTTATCAAGATGTAAATTTATACAGCGTATGTATAAGTACGCATTCTTAGTTAAAATGAGTTTTGTTTAAAAGCCAATAATAATAACTTAAAAATATGTGAGAAAAATTCTTTTTATTGTCACTATCTATTTTAATCATTGTAATACATTTACTTGCATAAAAAATAAAAATTTATAAGTGAAATATATTCTTTAATTGCCTTTCTTCTTGTATATTGTAAAATTCAAATTTAATAAGAGAATAGCAATAATTTTTTAATTATTCTATTATGAGACTAATTTTATAATAATAATAAATTTTATTAAATTTTCATTTAATTATAAAATAAAGAACTATATTGCTTTTAAAACTTTAAAAGTTTATCACAATTGTATAATAATTTTTAAAATACTCTAAATTTCAAATATGTTACACAAGAAAATAACAACTGTAAACAAATGTAAACTGCAATTTCTATAATATATATATATATATATATATATATATTGTATTGAATATAAGTTTCATTTGTTTAAAGCTATTTTAGTATTGAATAAAAAATTATCTACCCTCGTTTTTACATTTGTATATTTTATGCTTGTTATTACATATTATATAATACTATATACTATCGTATACTTCAACAATCTAAAATAATTGTGATTATTTCAATTGTACCTACATTGCGTCATATATGTTATAAAGCTATGTATTAAATTGATTAAAATATTTCTTAAAGGCATAAGAAATAAATCTATCTAATAATATAATTGCATAAAAATGAAATGTGATTATAGGATTTTTAAAGTATCTAAAAAGTATGTTTGTAGCAACTTAATTTTTTGTTAGCATAAAACTTGTATAGGAAAGCATTAACTACGAACCAATAATGTAGTATGACATAAATAACTTTTATTAACTGGGTTTATATATCTTTATAAAAATATAAAAAAGTATCAAAAAGAAAAAGTAGTGAAATAGCTAATGGAAAAGTTCCAAAACCGGACTAAGTAAATCAAAATTTTATTCTTAAATATATTTAAAATCAACTTCGTGATTTAAAAATGAAAATCTTTCGTTAGAAAATAGTCAATTCGCTCAAATTAAATATAATTTAATGTAATATTCTAATTATAAGTGTTAACTTTGTTGTGCAGGTTATAGTTTACGTGAGAATTACTACCAAAACAATAATATAATTTCATCACAATGTAAAAGTATTATCAAATAATTTAATTCAATAAATTGTATTTTTTAACCAAATCTTTGTCATTTATCTTTAAAATTTACTATTGATTTCATAATCCAAACTATCTATTTCTAAATTTTAAATGACGGGTAACAAATGTAAGTCTGAAAATATATATCATAAAGCTCATACCCATTGAAAAATGATTCCAGAATATATTGATATATGCTAAACTAATAGTAATTAAATTAAAAACTAATAGTAATATTGATATGTTGAAAGAAGATAAAGTTGGCTTTTCTTATTAATTAATGTAAATACTAGTAATATAAATTTCTTTGAGAAAAAAAGCAATATCAGATATTACTGATATTAGATTCCAATATGAGAAATAGCCAATTATCTCATAAGCTCTCAGCTAACAAATATTCAATCATAATTTCCATAGGTCTCTATTTTTTCATTTTCAAAATTTTATTATGGAGTAATTATAAAAATGATAGTTGATAAAGCAAAAATTGTATTAACATCCAATGATTAGCCTTGCTTTCCCGTGCAGACCAAATAAAATTTCAGTCAATTTACGTTCAGTTAAAACTTGAGTTTAAAAGGTTCTCAAATTAATTATGACGCAGATTCTGGACCGGAGATTGCAGTCATCCCATCTTTCGGGGCCAATAGCGCTGGTTATGGCAAACACGACAACAGCGTCTCATATTGTAGCAAACTACTTACACCAAGAATATCTTTCACTGACGAAACGATAGGTAAGTTGCACAGGCATGCATAGATAAGACTTTTTTTATAAATTCAAGTATCGCGAATGCGAGCTTTAGACGTGAATTCGCGCATATGCTACAGATGTAAGCTGTTTCATTTTAAAGGCTTAGTTTATGGCTCGAACTATCAATTCAATAGTTCAGTGGAATAGTTTCTCGTCAGGATAACTTTAAAGGAAATAATAAGTGAAAGGGCTGAAAAATATTATGTATTTATAACTATATTATGTATTTATTAACTATACTTGATATGGTGTAAGATATTTAATGGAACTTGTTGAGTAATCAATTGCATCTTTAATTATTTATGGGGATAGTAGAAAGACTAGTCATACACAAGAGTAATTAATGACAAGTCTCCGTCCTCTTGAAGGACTTAATGTAATGTATTAATAGTCGATTATTCAATATATTGTTGTCCTTCCTTGACAACGTGCTTAACGCATAGAGATTAGTTTGTATTATTTTAATTATTATTTTTTTATTAAATTTAATATATATTAAATTTAAAGCGAGACTTGTGTCAGCTGTTTCATCTCGAACATAAGCCGTTACTTATAGTTAATTAATTTTGCTTATGTAGTCTGGATTCGGAGATCAATATACTCGAGGTGACAGTAGTCGTAATATACCATTTTCGTCCCATTATGTCGTATTTAAGTTATTTCTGTTTATCTTTGTTAATAAATAATCTTTATTAATTAAATGTATTAATCATGGATTACAGAATTGTAGTATCAGAGCGTTGATTACACTGTCAATATGCATATTGGTAAATAACCGAATATATAAAATTAAAAATCGATACGTTGTATATGTTAATATTTTGAATTTCATATATATACTTTCTTATACTTATACTCTTATTACTTTTATATATTCATTTAAGTATTTATATAATATATACAATGTACATTATCATAATTATACATTTGCTTTTGCTGTAACTTATATCGAAGTAAACACGTTCACCTTATTTCCAGTTAATAGAAAACTTTTTGAACATGCATATTAAAATGTTCATCAATTTTAATTACAATGTTTTTTTAATACTTTCATATCAATAAATTCTCATATATAGGAACTTTTTGCATTTTTTAAGAAATTTTATATTTTCTTAATCTTATATATTTTATAAATCTAATAGTAAAAATCTCATTACGATATTATCTTTGAAGACAAAATCTAGAACAATGTACTTTAGTATGAAGTAATAGAATTTTTATAAATTCATTTTTACATATCTGTAAACACTTCGTTAAAAAATAATAAAATAATATATATTATATATATCAACATTTTTTAATGATCACTTATGAAAGCCAATATTTAATTAATTTTAATACATAAGAAATTTGCAATTTCAAATGTAAATCTACATTCTCTCTCTGTCTCTTTCTTTCTCTCTCATTAATTAAATTTGCTTAGAAATTATGAAATTGCATTTTCTTATGTATTAAATTTCTTAGGTTATTAAATTTTAAAAATCAGAGAAATGGTTCAATTTATCATTTTACGTCATTTTTATATATGAGTATATATACATATATATTTATATTTATCTATTTATTTATTTATTTATTTAATAAAAAGTTGTTACTAGTTATAGAATCAAGACATTACTAATTTAGAATATATTTGTTAGTTTAAAACCAAAAAAAATTAAGCTTTGTAAAGACTGTAACTACGTTTCTTTACTAGTATTTCTCAGTACATGTAATTTATTTGGGATTTCATAACATATTAAAGTAAATGGACCTATTAGATATTGTGTTATTCAAAATTTTTCTACTAGACTAAATTTAAAATATTGATCTGCTATCAGTTACTCTATTTAGTTTAATACAATATATTTCCATAATGCTTGTCTTAATACATCTAGCATGCCAAATTCTGATACAAAATCTATATTACTAATATTATATTGTAACATTTTACTTTTGCTCAATGTTTAAAGCAAATAAAAAATTCATAAAAATATTCATATAAATTTGATTTAGCTACATAAATATGGTATATTTTCCATTATAATCATTGTCAAACTTTTTTTTATGTTATAGTATAAGGTATTCGAAAGAATTCTATCGAATTGTCAATTAGAATTTAGCAAAACTCTTACTAGCTATAATATTAAAAAATACAAAACAAAAAAAAAGATTTATTCAATAATCATAAATATCTAGTATTAGTTATTATTATTTATTAGTATTACTATTTATCCTTTTTCTTTAATATTGCATTGCTTCTTGCGGCACAATTTTGTCGCTAAGATATCGAGTGTTTACTTATATCGCATTTTTAATTAAATTTATATGATTTGTATCTTCAATTAACTATAAGCATTACAACAAATCAACCTTCTCATACTGTATATGTATTCAGTATATAATTCTACTACAAATACATATTTTTATTGCATAATCATTGCATAATCTATGATCTCCCTTTCTTTAGCACTTGAATAAAATTCATTGAATACTCGCATGTTCTGTTATCATTACCTACTGACTGATCTCATTTCTGGTTGAGTTCGGTTACGCTTGCATCTGTGTAAACGTATCTAACAGTCCTGATCCTTTCAGTGTCTAATTATTTTATACAGTTTTTATCTGCCCGTATAAAATCTAGAATATCATGCACTAATGTTAAGTTTAAATCCATTATCGTTCAACACACTGAATTCAAACCAGAGGCCAATCTTCATAAATCTGTAAAAGATTACAAGGTCGATTGAAATCTCAAAATTTATTTACCAACAATATGTCACTTGCAGATAAATATCATTTTAAAAACAATCTGCTATATTATTGCGATGGTTAATCATTATAGGCAAGAAATACAAAAATAACTTGGTTTATTCTAATTAAAATAGTTCTAAAGTTTTATTCAATGACATTTCTGGATTGCTTAAATGAGAATTTTTTTTCAATCTTTGTTTATCTTCTGTTACAAAATTACAATTTTCGCTACCAGAACTCTGCTTATATTCATTAAAAAATAATAGTAATATCTTCATAAAATAATGAATTCTTATTTCATAATATAGAAATTCATAAAAATTAATTTAATTTAAATAATATTTGTTCTATGTTAAATTTATATTGTTTTTCAATCATATAAGTTCTTGTTTAGATCACTAGTAATTAAGCTATTTCTCTATTATGTAACAAATCATAAAAGAACTTCGGAGAGAAAAAATAAACCGCGTACGAAGGTTTATAAAATAATGGGAAGAAAATGGGATCAGAAAATTTTCAGTAGAATATATCTTATGTTGGCATCGTACATTATATTAAAAAAATTAATGTAATTTAAAACTTAAGCAAATCCTCAATTATTATGAATATACCAAATTTCATTGGTGTTATTAACATGATAATTGAAAACCACTCTATGTTGTAATTAGGAGATAAACTTTAATTTTTCTGTCGACTTTGGATAAAAAAATTAAAGTTTTGCAATTATATAGAAAATTTATATATATGCAAGAAAGGCATAAAAAGAAGAAGAAATAAAACGTGTACAAGTTAAGATTCATGTTTGAAATTATCATATGATTAAAGTAGAATTAAAGTAACATTTATAAATGATTCTAATTCAATATCAAATATAAAAAAATTTATAATAAAAAAAAATTTATAATTTATAAGAAATAAATAAAACAAATAATTAATTGAAAAAATCTACTATATTTCTAATATAATACGAATATGAAATCAATATATAATTATGCTACTAGTAGAATATTAAAAATTAAAGATATTTGAATTTCTCGTTTTGTTATTAAATAAATTATTTCTACGTATTTGTAATATATATAAGATGTAAATGTCAGTAGCAATAATGTCAGCTTTCAAGCAATAAATTTGATGAATTAAGTAATCAATTGCAAGTAAGCATTAAATAAAACTATGCTAAAATAATATTTTTACTGTTAGTATACTTAAAGTAAATGTTTATATCTGGTAGAGGTGACAAGATTTCACAAGTAGTAGAAATCGCGATAGTCACGAACTGGCTATACAATACAACGGTTCTCCCAGCCACAAAAGCCATGTGTATAATCAGCGATTTCTTTATTATAATAAAGACTATCAGAATAAAAGTTTCTTTTCATATTTAGTTCTAAGCTTCTCACAGCCATCGCAATATTAACAACGTATTAATAAACGTTTTGATATATATTTACAGTTAACCTTCTACACGGTATAATGCAATATATTAGTGTATTGACACATTTTTAACTTAATAAAGCACTCTTCAGTAGATGTAGATCATTAAACATATGAGGTGATTAAATAATCCAAACAATAAGTTCCATATTTTTCCATATTTATTGTTAAATCCAACGCTTCAATTAAATTGACCTCTGAGAATTATGTGCCAAATTATGAGATAAGAAAGTCACGGATTTTTATTAAAAGTTGTTTCCAATAAAAATTCATAATTTATATACTGAATTGTTGATTAATATTCATGATCAATTTTCACCTTTGGTTCAATTATATTCAATTTATTGAGTGTGATTAACATACAAATATATACACATTGAAACATATAATAGAGCTTATTGTATTAACAGTAATTTAGAAGACCAAAAAATAATAAAATATCCTTTAAATATTATCAGCATCTGCTAAGATTCATTAAATTTTCGATGAAGTAGTGATAAATAAGTATTAATTATAATCTTTAAAAAAAAAACAATAACAATTTTTTTAACAAAAGTAACAGATCGATTTATTTTATTATATAATTATTTCATTTATTATATAAATTTATAGAAATATAATTTGTCTAGAATATTTATTTATATATTCTGTATTTATTTATTATTTATATATATTTATTTATATTTATTTAAACATAATATATATACATATATATATATATATATATATATATAAGTTTGATTGGTAACAATAGCTTTTTCCAAATTTGATATTTTAGTTAGAAAAAAATTACTGTAAATATTCATTTTATTATGTGTGCAGCTAAAATCTCTGTTCATATATATTTTCAAATAATATACGGTTACAAAGCTACTTCCAAATTTTTATGCATTTATTGTATGTATTTAACTATATTCATTTATACAATAGAAAGATCTTATTGAATAAAAAAAAATTATGGAGTATGCTAATTAATAAATTTTGTTTTATATAAATTTTTCGAAATTATAATAAATATGAATACAAATTTATAATGTATATATAAAATATTCATTAAAATATTTATTTTTATCGCAATTATTGTTATATGTTTTTTAAACTTTATTTCACTATTATTTAATAAAAAAATGTTACGTGTTAAATACCATCTAAATAAATTGTGTATAATATTTGAAATAATATTATGAATTATAATATTATGAAATTATAATATTATGAAAAAAATATATTTTTCTACGAGTAAAAGATTAAGAAATAAATAGTGTCACACAATGTAATTATATGAAAAGTATAGTTATGTAACACAATTTTTTTTTCGATTTTTAAATACTTTTTCAAAATTATACTTTGAACAGCTATTTATAAATAAACTTAATCATAAATTAATAATATTGTATGAAATTAAAATAAAATACAAATTTACGAAATACATTGAAAAAAATAAAGCAAAAGTTTTAATATTTCAGTGTCTGTTTTAATATTTAATATAACATCTGCCATAAAGATATTTTGTAATAATTTTCACATTCATTCCAACATTGAATTAATAAAATATTACAACATGATACAAAGTTTCGTATAAATATATAGGAATTAGCTATAAAAGTCTTTAAAACAAAAATTATCAGTTTTGCTTGCATTGTATGTAATAATACATACAATCTCCTACAATAATAAGCGAAGCTTCTAAAATTTATTCGCATTTGAATCATTATATTAATAAAAGTAGTATATCCGATAATGCGTCGCCGAGAAAAAGCATGAATTTGAATTCTCTAAAAATTCAAGCTTTTTTTTTATTAGATAGAGTTGCTGGATATACGTTCGGTACAGCACACAGAACAGCACAACGACGTTTATAGTACATCTCCTTTAAAAGTATATCAAAAACTTAAGATAAAGTTAAAAATATTCAGAAAAATGTGTTGTTTGAATGAGGAATAAATATAAATAAACATTAATAATAAAACATAAACAAATCAACTGTTTAAATTTAAATTAAATCTTATAATCGACTTTTGTTATAGGCAGATTCAGATTATAATAGCTCTTAAAGGCGCATGAAAACTTATTCCTGGTAAATAGATAGACGAAACTTAAATAAATGCATTTAACCAAAGAGCGTACATTTACGGAGACGTTTTAAGCATTTTTATAAAATCAAGAATCTTTTAAGACTCTTTTTTACTCAAGTAAATAAAAATGGTAATGAAAATGTAAAGAAAAAATCTCTTTGATACTGCGAGTTAGTGCACGTGGATCGGGAAATTCTATAAAATTCAAGGCGTCAGCTAGGATCTTCAAAATAGTAAAACTAAATCAATCGTCACTATTTGTATAAATAGATGATTCGACGATCCATAATTTTCTCTCTACGAATAGATCCTGCTTTAAAACAATCATTATAAAAAGTTATTTAAAATTTAACGACCCGTATATCGTATATCGCTGATAACTTAGATTCAGACAAAATTATTGATATCGACATTGTGTTCCAGGTGTCGAGCGGCGCGTCTCGGATATCGGGCCGAACTATCGAGAGAGCAAAGAGTTGTCGAGTCGTGTCGCCAGCAGACTCAGCACCTGTAGTATTGGCGGCTCCCAACCCCTAACAAGACTGGCGAGGTTGCTGAACCAGCGGCCCAGCTTCACGCCCAGCGATGACATACCCAGACGTTTATCCTGGGAGAGGTGAGCTGCTGATCTTCAATTTGCAAATGGAGAAAGGCTCTTTGATGCATGATGTATACGAACACATAATAATGATGGACAGATTGACAGCGCCTTCCATTACATTCTAATATCCTTTATACTTTTAGTCAAGCGTGTCCTTAAGCCCATGATGACGCTTATAATTGAAGGGATCGCAATCCGATTGCTTTGATCGTGTAAAGGGATAAAGGGAAGGATATCCCGATATTTTACTCGCAAATTGCTCGCACTTATGGCTTTCTTCGGTTAATTGACATGACAAATGTAATTGAATGCTTACATTCTCGCTGTTTTGTGAAATGGAACTGAATAGAGAGATGTGATGTCTATTAGGAATTACATCGGAGTCCTTAATAATCAATTATAAATATTCGATCTGATATTTTGACTGTTGAATATCTGAATTTGGACTTAAGAGTGCCACACGAAAACTTTGATACGCGATTTAGGCAACGACTTAAAATCATTAATATCATAAATATTCATAACATATATATATTTGTATATTCTAATATTAATTTCTCGAAAACTAATTGGAAAAACTACTGGGAGAATCTATTTTTACCTAATACTTTGGCAATGATGGCATACTATTGATTTTTTTTAATATTGGATTCAGATATAGAATCTACATCATCGAAAATTCATAAACAAAAAATTTATGTATATGTATATATATTTTATTTTATTTTTAAATAAATTTTATGCAATCCTTCCAGATTCCATTATGATATATCCAACCAGAAAATTTTCTTCAATAGTGAAATGATTAAGATAGAAATAAAATAATTTAAAATGAATATGCGATAGAATTATTTTCTTTTTATTTAAGGGTAAAAAATTATTTTCAATGTTCGAGTAATTCCTAAATACTTTAAGCTCATTTTATTATAGTATAGACCAAATAATTATTAATAAGAAACACTCATTATGAATTTTGAAATTCTACTTTATTCATATAAATAATTGAAAAAATAATAATTGTGAAAATTATCGAAAATTTAATCAAACTACACTAAATGTACATTGAATGAAATGAAAAATATCGTTATATTTATAATCAAATAATACTTAGATAGTATGCCATAAATAATAAATAAAAAATATACTTTACTCGAAAAGAGCGTGTAGATCTTATAATGTTGCAAGGATCTACAACTTACAAGGACCTAAAAATAATATATACTTAATATATATATATATATATATATATATATTAAATAATATAAACTTATAAATTACAATTAGATTAGGTAATATGAAGAGAATAAATGAATGAATATGAAAATGGATAAAATTTGTCTTTCTGAAATGTCTTTTTAATTAATTACCAATAATAACTTAACGTCCCATTTTCATCTGTTGCAATACTAAAAAATAATGGGCTATTATTAAAAAAAAAAGAAAACGAAAAGAAGAAAGGAAAATCTTAGGACGAAATTAAAAAAAATATTTGCTAAGTCTTGATTTAGACGTTAATATTCGGAAATTTTTAGTCTGCTTCTACAACTTAAAAAGTAATTCCAGCTGGTAGATACAAATACTCAAAAATTCATAAATTTAAAAAGGATGGTAATATACATTCTATAGCATGCAGAATTAAAATTTTAAATACAATTTTCTCTGGCATTTTGTTATAAATTTAAAAAATAATAATAAAATGATTCCATAAAACTCCTTTCACTTTTTTAATATATAAATAAGCTAAATATTAGTTGTATTAGTCATTAATACTAAAATATAACGTTCATAATATATTATTACATAATAGTCGAATTTTTATTTTGTTTGTTTAAACTGTATTCTATAAATAGAATCAATCAATAACAAAAATACTGTACTTACTTTATTAATTATAAAAAATTTTATTTTTATAGAATTTTAATTAATATTCACTACATGCTTTTTAAGTATTTGATATGTCTTTATTATTTGTACAAAATTTTAATTCAATTACGTTTTATTTAATTTAATTCAATTACGACAAAATTTAATTCAATTACGACAATTATACAAATAAATTCATTAAGTTGAATTATTTTATGAGTTGAATAAAATATTTTAATTAAATTGGAATATGAATTTGTAGTTGTATATATATATATATATATATATATATATATATATATATAACGTAGACATTACAATTTAAATACAATTTTTGATTCTTTGGAAATAAATAATTTTATAATTAAAAGCTCATTTAATTTTTAATCTGTGAAATTTTCGTTAAAATTCAATTTAAATTGATTTTAGTGCATAATTTGAAATTTCTGCAAACTTATTTTAATATTTTATGTGAACATTACTTTACTTGAAATGAAGAACATTTAAAATCAACTAATTTTTTAAATAAAACTGATACAGTGCATGCAAGGATACTTTTCTGTTTACTACATGTATAATTCCAAAAATTTCTAAACACGTCAATTTATTGATTAAATTTTAATGTAGTCACATAAAATTATCAAAGCTTTTTAATATAAATCCATATAGTACTCAATATTGTATCCTGTGAATATAATTTAGATTATATTTTTCGCAATTAACATATATTAACTTTATAGAATCTAATTAAAAATACTTGTTAAAATTAATAATATATTAAATTTTTTAATAGTATACCTTTTCAATTACATGAGTCTACTGTAGAAGGTTATTTACTATTGTGTTTTTATTTTTACTATTATACTTATTTTTATATTCATTTAACTTAGTTGTTTTAAATGTATTTGCTAAATTTCGGATATTTTCGCCATTTGAATATAAGTAATCTATAAATGTTCTTATTCTATTAAAATCCATTAATTTTTAAAGTAAACATAAATATTAATTCTTTATTGAAATATTATTTTCTCTGTTTTTTTTATTGAAAAAATTAAAATATACGAATATACAAAAAGACATGGAAATTTAGCAGTACGTTAAAGTTAATTTGGAGAAGGAAGATTTAGTCCAAAAATAGATCTATTTCCAAGAATATATCTCTCCTACACTCTGAAGCCGGTTTTATATCGAAGTACATGGTATTATGTTACAATTTTAAAAATATTACTAATTATATCTCTATCTTATCAAATTTTAGAATATGCAGCTGTTGTGCATTTGGTTAAAGGACATTAAATTGTAAAAAAATCGTATCTTTATAAAAATTTATAAAAATCTTTTATGAAACTTTATAAAAATCTACAATTATTATATTAATTCGCAGTAAATACTATTAACATTATTTTCATTACACTTTATTATTTGTAATATTATTATTAAATAAAATGTTGAAACTATGAATTATAGATAGTATCCAAAGTATATATATAAGAATTTTTATTTTATAACATTTATTTATATTCATGAGTCAATTTGAAATAATGTTATTGTATTGTCTACTCTTACTTTAATCCTGATGTTTTTTTTATGGAATATAATTTTTTAACAAATAAAATGATTTCATATATATCTAATATCTGATATGTATATATAGTATTATATAATTAGAAACATTATGTAATTACAACTAACTATTAAAATTTAAAAAATATGCTGATTTTATTAAAGAATTATTATTACGATTGTCTAGGTACTAAAAGTAATTAAATAATTTTTAAGCTTATTTTTTTTTTAAATATCAATGATAACTTCTGTATTTTATTAAAAAAAGATAAGATACCCATATAAAATTGTATAATAAACTCATTCATTATAATCCGTTAAAATTCATATGAAAAAAATATATATACATTCATACATAAGATTTAATTAGTATTAAGAGATAGAATAAAATTGTCTTAGATAGAAAATATGATGAAGAATGTGCTTTAAAATTGAAAAACATATTTATATGCATATTTGCTATAAACAGGTTGATTAATGAAAACCATTAAGTAAGAAATGGTAATTTTTTAACTATGTTATTTTAATGAATAATTGTTAAATTAATGATGGATAATAAAAGGATATATAAAAAATGCCATCCTATGTTGTACAAAATGTAAAATGATGCTCTTAAATTTTTCATGTTTCTTTAAATAAATTATATGAATGGCATTTTTCTTTAAATTAAATAGAGATGCTACGCATTTTCGTATCTTTATAGAAATTTTTAAAAGTACTTATGTTAAAATATACTAATTCTATGTCTTTGTTCATGTTCTTTATCCAATATTAATTTAATAAATCGAGGTGACAAACTAATAACTATGAAATACTAATGAACGAATACTTATACAAAATATTTCAATAGTATACATCTTATTTGAAACTGTCACATGCAACGAATGTAATTAAACAATTAATTAAACAATCCGCAGACTATATTTTCGAGCATGCACAATTTACCCAAAAATAAGTTATTGAACACCGAATCACCAAATTTATTTCTTCTAATAATAAATCGTCAGGTACAGGAAATTCTTTCGGCTGTTAATAATCACACTCAAACAGCAGTGTCGTCGAGGAAAAGTGGACGACCCCTTCGATCCCAAGAGACTCCCGCCACTCCTAGCCTCTGGCGCCATACAATTCGTGAAGTCCCTAAGGTCCTTGTGAGCTACTAACCGACTAACCAAAGGAAATTTGTTTTCAGGCGCGAGTGCAGCAGTACGGGTTCATGTCTGCCCCGCAGCAACAGCATCGACAGCGTGGCCGATTGGAATCTGGCTGTCGGCACCTCGGATGTTCTTGGTAGCTCCTATGGCCTTGGCTCGAGCTCCAGCTCCGAGAGCACTTACGCCCTCTACATAGACCATCAGCAGCAACAACAGCAGCAGAAGCAGCAGCAACAACAACAGCAACAGTCTCGCCGAAGCCCGAGCCCACTGCTCGGTTCGAGGTCCGAACGCTTGAGCCTCATCTCGCCGAGCATCGGCCGAAGGGTCAAGGGTCACAGGGCCGTCCTTGGTGAGTTAGGAAACCGGCCCTTAGGGCGTTCGCGAAACACTGAACAACGGCCGCTCTTGTCCCTCGCTAGAAGGTGCAAAATCTTATTAATCGCCGACCGGCAACGCTTATTTACCGTGCCTCGATCATAGTTAATATGACTTTAATTAATAATGACAAGTGAGTGCTAAGTCGGTGAAACTTTCAAGTGGGCGGAAAAGCAAAGGCCTATCAAAGCCCCATCTTGATAACCGGACCACTAGAATTTTTTGCATTTATTCAGGGAAAAAGCCCTCGCCAACGACAAAAAACTTTTATTTTATGGAGTAAGCCAAGGGACGGTTTTCACGAGAGCTCGACTTTCCGCCGTGTTTATGCGCACGTACATGAACAATTTAAAGAATAGGTCTTCGTAACAATAATTTTGTAGGTAATATGGCATAAATGTTGGGATTGCAGTAACAAAAATGGACGATAACCAAAGTTACATGTTAATATTCCCGCGTTCACACATTGGCACACTCTTAGTACTTCCATTTTGACGCAGATTATAATATGAACAGAGTATGTGAGAAGAAAAAGAAAAACTAATTAACGTCTGCCTCCTACTAATTAACGTTAGTCTCAAATAATAGTAGAATTCATGTGAAATTTGTGCAGTGATACTTCCAATGGATAATGTTGTAAAGAAATTTAAAGCATTGTTATATTATATTTGACGATTTCAATTAAAAATAATTTCTAATATACGAAAACTGAAATAATATTAAAGGAAGGTCCACTCTGCGCATAAATCATATTCTCCTTTATTTTACGTAAGCCATAAAGAGCAGAATTTTTTAAAAAAATACTCTATGATGGTTGAAAACTTCAGGTATTAAGAAGTTTATATCAGTAAAATACATTTACCTTTATATAAATGGCTCCTAGTAAAAGCATCTCGATTTTTTACTATCCATTTCTTAACAAAGCACAAAAAAATACTTATAAAAAAATCTTACATATGTTTTTACTTTTTATCAGCATGGCACAACTAATGATGTGATAAGCTGTATTTTTATTTTTATAATAAAAAAGTAAGTATTTAAAACGAAAATTACCTTTAACTTTTAGTTTAAATTACGAAATTATATAAAAATTTTACTTTTAATTTTAACTAATAACCAGACTTACTTCAATATCAGACAATATTAAATTTTTACGATCACACATACATTCTTATCATATGAAAAATGTGAATATAAATGAGACAATTTAAATTATATGAAGATATATTTACAATTCAGCATATAAATAATATTACCTGAAATTATTAATATTAAAGTATATAAATTTTCGATATATAAACATTATTTATTATAACATTTTTCTTTTTAATTAAAATATTGACGGCTCAAATCTATTACATACTAATATAATTATATTAATATATGGTATTTCATATTTTAAATTCCTTCTAAAGATAACATCCTACATAAAGATTTTACAATTCTGATTTTAATATGATTATTCATAAATATTATTATATATTTAATTATATTGATTCAGCATATGTTAATAATGTTTGAAAAATTTAATAAATCAATAAATAGCACGAGATAAGTAAAATGTCGAGAAATAAAGTGTTAAGTAAGATTTAATAAATATAAATATCGAGTATCTCTGAACATTAAAAAATTATTAACACAATTTTTACAATTATTATTGAGAATATTATATTTTATTGGAAAGCTACTTCTACTTTCTCCCAAGCACATTGATGTAAGAAAAGATATTTCTTTATATAGTATCATAAATACATAATATTATTTATTAAAAAGAAATAAATTATTTACATTTATATTATTAATAAGAGTGAAATTTCAATCGATATAAAATAATCACATTGCATATTCGATATTAGAGGAATTTATATTATTAAGTACTTTAAGAAAACTTCACACATTATTGAAATACTATTCAAAGGCTTGTCTACTTCAATTTGGTTTATCCATTAAATGATAATTTATTTTCTAAAACTTGTATAATAGAAAGTGATAAGAAAATATTGACTGACTCTTAAGATGATTATGATTTTCTCCATATATTGGCTCATACAATATAATGATCAGTTCATTTTATCGTCAATCATACAATAATCCATATACAAATATATATAAAATTTTTTTGTATATTCAGAGTAAGTACGTAATTTATTTAAATTAATAAAATTTATTTTTCAATGAAGAATCTGCAAAAACGTATTAATGCTATGATTAGAACGTTAATTTAACAATTAATTTTAACAGATTTCAAAGTTTTTTTTATTTCCGTAAAGAAACACAAAAATATATTTGTGGTATTTGTAAAAATAAAAAAGTTTCTACTATCGAACTGGGTTAAAATATGCATAAACAATACAATTAAGTTGTTTTACTTATTACGTCTTCGCTTTTTAAATATAACAGCCAGAAACAAGATATTTTTAAATTTAATTTAAAGATTTATTTGTATACATATATATTTATTTAGATTTAAGCTCTTTTAATTTACACAATAATGTAAAAGTACATATTGTCTTATTTGCAGTCGTTACTATTTGATAAAATATTAAAAAAAACTTATAACTGAATAACTACTTTGTGAATGTTATTTCAGAGTCTCGTTGTCTCGTTTACTCTAAACACACACTTCACGCATAAATTAAATAATATAATTCTGAAAGTCATTATCATTGTTAATTTTAAACAGAGTTTTTAATTCTATCGTGTATTCATAAGGAAAAGTCTTGTAGAAATTTTATTAGGAAGACGAATATTTTTAACTACTTTGTAATTCTTTCTTTGCAATTCTTTATTTTCTTTATCTACCTAATTCCACTATTTTATTACTACGCTTTACCACAAATATTTAATTATGTGCAACTATTTAGTCATTCTACTTCTTTAACTTAAAGTGGCCATTTGAAATTAAAAAGGATCTTTAATTGTTTATTTTATGTTTCATCAAATAATTTATCATTACTTTAATATCAATTTTTTATATCAAAGAAAATACGTTATGAAGGTATGCTTTACCAATTTGATACTTTCTCCCCATCTGCCTAGTACGTATAATATACATACATTAAAGTCATGCCACGTCGTTTAGTTCTTCATTTTTACCCTTTAATAAAAAATATTTATTAAGAAATTATTTTTACGACTTAATTTAATAACACATTCACGCGTTAACTTAAACTTATTTTATTCGAGACATGAAAAATGCATAAAACTTGTTATAAGTTTAGTAAAGTTCAGTAAAGTCTAGAAATGTCTTTAATTTACACATTATTCGTGACAAGTTGGTTCGGTCAGTAATTGGTTTAATTATATTCAAAGCCTATATTCAATTTCCGTAATAAATTTTCGTATAAACTGTGAAATATAGAACTCAGGATTAATGAACCTCAAAAAAAATGTACGATAGTAAGTGATATAATTATAAAAATTTCTCTATTAACAGTAGAATATATTTATATAATGCTATAGTAATGGATATACTTGATGTTGAATGTAGAAAAATCAGGTCTAATTAGACATGGGTTGTGACAAAATATGAAAGTTAAGTCTAAATATATGATCTGATCAAATTCACACGCTATGGAGTAGTCATGATATTTCAAATTTAGCTGTTGCGAATCGTATATAATTTTAGATGGAGTATTGTTTCCATTATTTTTTATTTCAGGGTAGGAATTTTATCGATATTCTCGGCGTTCCATTTGTTTCTTTCGTTTCACGATTACGGACCGCTGAAATCGCACATTTAACTTTTTCAACGTTCAAATTTAAAGGAGAGAAAATATCGAACTGTTGACTCTTCTTATCGGATAGATTTAAATTATGAACGGCTTTAAATCGTAGCTCTAACTTTTTTTCACTTTTCTGCCTTTTGATTTTCAAACGAACAAATAGAAAGTTAGAGAAATACGACTCGTCCGTCCCTTATTTAAATTCTCTTATTTCCATGAAATATATGCCTCAAGATGATTTTCGAAAGTAGCAATGTATTACATTCTAAATTACTTATGCAAACATTATTATAATAATGTTTAATAATAATGTTATAATAATGTGTAATCCATATGTTATAGTATTTACGGATTATCCTTACACAATTCTAATAACGTGTACAAAATAAATAAGTCGCTTGGCAGGGCTCACGATATTTTGTAAAATAATTATTACTTTCGTATTTTTTCCTATATATTTAATTAAACAGGCAATAATATAGTGATAGGGAAAACGAGATCATAAGTTATTCCTTAACATTTATTTATTTTAAAAGTATGAAGTGATTAAGACAAGAAGTCTACTTCTACCATAAATTCATTAAAATTGTACAACTTGTTAATAAACCATTAAAAATTATTACAAACAAGTGTATTCTTTACTAGATACAGAGAAAAGCACCGATTGTCAAACAAAAAAACAGAATTGAATTAATTAATTCGATGCAGGAAAATGCAAGGCAGCTAATTTTACGATTCATAAACTTTAGTTCGGAGAGCTATCGTGATAAGGCAAAAGCTTACGACAGCACCAGCCGTGTTCTTTCTCAGATTTTAGTTACTTGTCAGCCCTTTCTCCATTATATAATATAATTATTATGTCCCTTTTTAATGAGGGAATAAGATAAGAAGCTTAAATTCCGCGTGATATTATGCTGTATTTATGAGGGATAAATCTATAATACATTTAACGATATTTGATATTCACGAGAAAATTTAGTCGTAAAAATTGTTGTAACAATTAATATCATGTACTAATGTACGCCCATTTTTCACTACGTCCACATGTAAACATGTAGACACAAAAGTATCCATAGAAATAAATGCACATCTGCAAAACAAATGTATAAATTTATATCCCGAACAGCTGCTCAATTATTGTTATACTCGACTTGATGAAATGAGCAGAGCAATAGGTGTGAGGTATTTTCACTTCGAATGTTTCACTGCTATTAAACGCTTTCGATAACGAATTTTATTCAATCCCAGC